ATAATGGTAGGACTTCTGATTCTCTCAGAATTGCCTCACTGTATTGGTTAAATAAGACAGGTGAAAAGTAGCATCTTAAAGTTGGATCTTTAGCTTAAAGTTAAATTCCTTTGTATTTCTTGTATATTTACGGAATACATTTTCTCTCCGTATGCAGGCGGTTTGATGTCAATATAGGTTCTGGGTTATTCTAATATCCTTCCCAAATATGTCAAAGGAAGCTATGTTTTAAAAATAATACTACGAATAATAATATATCGATATTTTAATACCAGCAGTATTTTAACCTCGCGATATTGGATTAATAAAAAGAAAGAAAAAAGAAATAGAGAGAAAGATAAAGTAAGAAAGACAGACATACAAAGAGGCAGAAAGAAAGAAAGAAAGAAAGAAAGAAAGAAAGAAAGAAAGAAAGAAAGAAGAGAAAGAGAACAAACGTGATGTGAAAGTCATGAAGGAAAAAGAAAGAAAGAAAGAAAGAAGAGAAAGAGAACAAACGTGATGTGAAAGTCATGAAGGAAAAAGAAAGAAAGAAAGAAAGAAAGAAAGAAAGAAGAGAAAGAGAACAAACGTGATGTGAAAGTCATGAAGGAAAAAGAAAGAAAGAAAGAAGAGAAAGAGAACAAACGTGATGTGAAAGTCATGAAGGAAAAAGAAAGAAAGAAAGAAAGAAAGAAAGAAGAGAAAGAGAACAAACGTGATGTGAAAGTCGTGAAGGAAAAAGAAAGAAGAAAAGAAAAATATTTAAAAATAGATAGGAAAAGGTAAGAAATATAACAAACAAGATATAAAAATACGAAGAAAGAATGAAAGAAAGAACAGATATTGAGGAAAAAGAGAGAGAAAAAAAAAAACAAACGAGTAAACGCCGTGAAGGAAAAAGAAAGAAGAAAAATTATATAGAAATATGAACAGAAAAGGAATAAAGAGAGTAAAAGAAAGATAATAAAAAAGATATAAAAATACGATGAAAGAAAGGATATTGAGATTCTAAGATTCATTGCCCATTTTTAGATATATTCCTGACTCTTTGTTTTTTTTTAAATCATTTCACCCCATGCAAGGCAGTAAAGCCACTAATACACAACGGAGTTACTGAGTGCGAAAGAATAATAAATAAAAAAAAGAACCATTATGAAACACTTTCTTCCATTAGCTTAGCTGGTTCAGTATGCCATCATGCTATAAAATAATTCGCACTGTAGAGATTTTCTAAGCATAGCTTAGATGTGGCTCAACGCGAAAGTGTGGAACATTCAGTGAGGATCGAACTCATTACTAAGTCATAATTGATTTAGCAAGATACGCTAGCTGGGCATAACATCATATCTACTTCCCGTTGTGTGGCGAATCATATTTAAGGCTACTTGGTGCGTAGACCGTGTAACAGTTGAGGATATACCCCTAGCGAAGAGTATAACCAGGATTATTCTAGTCTTGGCTGTTTTATACCCGAGGTATAAGTTAAGCTAGGCTAGTTTATAACCTCGTATTTAAAATGGGTTAGGCTAGAATATATCCCCGCTAGACTAGGATATACCCTACTCTTTTCCCATATAATAATATGTATATGTTTATATTCACAGTTTATAGTCTGGATATTTGGGCTCATGTTACTGTTACAGAATTCTGAGCTAGACAAAAATGGCAGAATGATAATTGTAGTGAATGTAATTCCTGACCCTACTGTACCGGTCAGAACTTTGACGACCCGAACTGAGTTGGACTGCTTTGAACCCGGGGGAAGCGGAATCTTGACAGTGATCGATTGTCTTTCCTAAGATATAAGATCGGCACACGCGTGAAAATGAAGACTACGTGCCTTTCTCTCCTAGATTCTTTTGCCTTACAGCAGTGAAACAACCCACGCACGTGGAGAGCATAGGTAGCTAGCCGACCTGTAGATGCCCGTTCTCTTTATCTCCATCACCCTCTCGCGTTCTACAACTAACGATACCTCCTATGTCCCTCTAAAAGAAAAAGCGAGGGAAAAGAAACCCGAAGAAAAATTGTTCGTCGTTGATTCGCTCTGTTGATGCAGCGTTGGTGAACCTCCTGAGGAATTGCTGATAGACCACAAGGATCCACAGACGACACACAAGCAACAGTCATCCGCCCGCATAGATTTCTTGCGGGCATTTTACAGCTCTCAATTTTATTCCGGTTCCTTGCTTTGCGCATGCGTAGGCCTAACATCTGGATTATTTTAATCGCTGCAGAATTTTAATCTCAAGATTGTAATAATATATAAAAAATGAGGATTTGAGATTATACAACTCCCTGCCTATACATTCAGGCCTCTTTGGGTGAAACAATCTCTTTAGTATGACACCGTACTAGCTGACTCGTTTATACTGCTTTGATACAAACTAATTGATGTCGTGTGGTGAGTCTTTAAGGCTATTTGTTGCATAGACCGTGTACCAGTTCGAAATATCTCCCCAGCCAAGAATATAACAGGACTTGTTCTAGGCTTGACTGATCTATACCCAAGATATAAGATCGGCTAAGGCTGTTTACATCCCCAGAATTTAGAATAGGCTAAAATATATATTCGCTGAATCAGTATATACCCGCTCCTTTTCTACGGTGGACGGACAATTGCGTACTAGGCATTTGCGTTCCTGGACATTTGAGTCCTTGGATAATTGATAATTCTTTAAGTTACCTTTTTTTAAGAGTTGTTTAATATAGAAATTTGCACACCAGTACTTCTAATTACTCTAAACAAGCAAAAAAAAAATAAGAAAGCAGAGAATTTTTTCTTTTTTAAAGCAAGAGAAAATTAAGCTAACATTTTTCAGTTTACTCCAGCAGTGCGTACCACAAACATCTAATAGATTCCGGATTTTATAAATTATATTTTTATTTGGAACCTATGGCTATCAAACACTGGTGGGAAAATATTTGTGGTCGAGGAAAATTGCAGCTACCACTGTCAAAAAAAAAAAAAAAAAAAAAAAACGCCGATAAAACAAAAACATACTGGCAATGTGTAGAGCGACCATGCAACGCTATTAATCTGTTATTGCATTTTAAACAAAAATAAACTTTTAATTTCTTTTATTTTATTCCTTTTTTCAAAATTTATTTATTACTACCCATGCTTTTTTCAAAATTTATTTGACTTTAAAATTTTCAAAAAATTATCAGAGTTACGCAATTATCCAGAGACGCATTTGTCTAGAGACGCAAATGTCAAGGGGGTGCAATTGTCTGGTACACAATTGTCCAGCACGCAAATTTCCTTTTCTCCTATAAGATGTTATTGTATTTACAGATTATAATCAGGTTATTAGGGATCATGTAGTGTTACTGTTACAGAATGTTTGCGCTAGACATACATGGCAAAATGATAACTGTAGATCAACTGAAGTTTCTGAGACACACAATGAGGAAGGAAGGCCTGGAGAATCTGATACTCACGGGTCGAATAGAGGGAAAGAGATACAAGGAAAACCAAGGCGTGGCATACCTAGCGGCCTTAAGCAAGTGGATGACAGAACGTAGTCTGAGGGAGGAAGCAGAGAGAAGGAATTTGTTGAGAGCTGCAAGTGATAGAGGGATGTGGAGAGCCATGATCGCCTACGTCCTGAAAGGACATGGCACATAAAAAGAAAGAAAGAAGGAGGGCCTGGAGAATCTGATACTCACAGGTCGAATAGAGGGAAAGAGAGACAAAGGAAAACAACGCATGGCATACCTGGCGGGCTTAAGCAAATGGATGACAGAATGTGGCCTGGAGGAGGAAGCAGAGGGAAGGAACTTGTTGAGAGCTGCAAGAGATAGAAGGAGGTGGAGAGCCATGATCGCCTACGTTCTGAAAGGACATGGCTCATGAAAAGAAAGAAAGAAAGATGTGAATATAATTTCAGAATCGACCGTACCGGCCAGAATTTTAAAGACCCGAACTGAGTTGGCGTGGAATTTTGATAAGGATATATTATCTTTGCTTATATATTACCTTTGTCTAGGTTTCGATATGACCGGAAAACGCACATAAACGAGGAGTATGGTTGCTACAGTAGAGAAGTCGATAAGTTTAAGCCTACTCTCCCAGATTTATTGCGTGACCATGGTTACAGCGGAGAGACAAGCCACGCACTCCGAGAAGATAGGTAGCTAGCTGATCATCCGTTTTCTTTGTCTTCCTCTCGTTATCTCCAAGAAACAATGCATATTTCCTTCTTAAATAAAGCGAGTGAAAAGAAACCCGAGCAAAATTGTCGTTGATTCGCTGTATTGATGCAGCGTTGGGGTACCTCCTGAGGAATTGCTGATAATGTGCATGGATCCAGAGATGACACACAGTGATTTCTTGTGTGCATTCTACAGCTAAATTTTATTCTGGTTTCTTGCTTTGCGCAAGAGTAGGTCTAACATCTGGATGGTAATTGATTTGGGTTAACCAATGCCTGATCACTGTTGAATGAGTTCCTATCAGCCATTATTAACAGTTTGCACACTGGCACCATCACAGAACATTCTCGTTAAGAAAAAACACGTGTTCATATTAACATTAAGAGTAGATATACACTGTCAAAGGCGGGTATAGTTTAGACGAGGTTTATTTTATATCTCCGTGATATAAAGTAGACTAGCCCGAGTCATCCCCCGGGGTTTATTCTAGGATAAACTGTTCTCGTGCGATCACCGAAGTTAAGCAACATCGAGCTTGGTCAGTACCTAGATAGGTGACAGTTTGAGGATACTAGCTGCTGTAAACGGGATGTAGGTGTATAACGGCTCGCAATTCAAAATCGGAGAGGTGAGTCTCAATTCCTGTCAGGTTCGTTTATATTCACATGATAGACACGTATCCAGGTAGGAGGAGACTTCCAACACTGACCGTTCGTACAAAATGAAATGTAAGCATATTCTTCCTCTTCTATGAATAGCAAAAGATGCTTTCCAAAAGCTAGACAAAGTATTAAGAAACAGGAAATCTTTGTCAGAGTACTGTTACATAATATCAGGCCTCCTCTATGGTAGTGGCTTATGGCCGCATCACGCTGAAACACTGATTCCCATACGAACACTGAAATTAAGCAACGTCCAGCCTGGTCAGTACCTAGATGGGTGCCCGTTTGGAAATACCAGGTGCGGTAAGATTGGGTGTGCGGTTGGTGTAATGGATAATGGCTCGGAATTGTTAATGGGAGGACCGAGTTCAAATTCCCATTTCGTTCGTCATATTTACTTACGCGCAAATACATTCGGAAAGGTATGAATTCACTTATTCTCCCCCAGCTATGGGTCAATTAGTATGACTTGTATCAGTAAATCATTATCACCTCAAAAAATTATTACACTCTAAAACTATTTTTAGGTTGATAAGAAATAAAAAAAAACAAATCGGTCAATCTAGGTTAGATTATACCCGTGTGTATTTTGGAAAGGTGTTAATATGGGCTGCTACACCGGAAAACACACACATTATATATAATATTAGTGGTAAATGTACACATACATATGCAATCATATATCTAAAATATATAAATATATATATGAATACATACATACACATACATATATATTTGTATAAAAAATAATTACAAGAGGATAGAATCCAGGTAGAACTCAATGTCCAGGACAGAGTAAGGATATAATAAAAAGGCTTAAACACTAATAGTCCATGGTAATATTAGTGTTTAAGCCTTTTTATTATATTATATATATATATATATATATATATATATATATATATATATATATATATATATATATATATAATTATTTTTTATAAAAAAATTATAACATAAGTATTTTATAAAATCACTACAAAAATAGCCATTTTGTTTCAACACACTCTGTGTCTTATCAAGTGATGATGTTGAAAATAAAATAAATGGTTTTCCTTTTCAACATCATCACTTGATAAGACACAGAGTGTGTTGAAACAAAATGGCTATTTTTGTAGTGATTTTATAACATACTTATGTTATAATTTTTTTATAAAAAATAATTATATCTGCTCTACTTTGTATTGAGCACTCTTTTAAGAATAGTAATTGTTGGTTATTGGAATTCATTCCGTATATACCAATTATATACTTTGATATATATATATATATATATATATATATATATATATATATATATATATATATAAATATAAATAAAGTAAATAAAAATTATATGAGATAATCATAATTAAGTAATTCATCGAGTCTAGCAGAAACCTCAGCAGAATGCAGAAAACACTGGATGGCCGTTTCGCCCTGTTTGGGACTCATCAGCAGTGCGCATCCACTACCGAGAATTGAAACCCGAACAGTTACGATAGGAGGTAAACGCAATACAAACTGTACGAACGGGCCTCGGTGACGAAGAGGCAACGAATTAAACTCGATATAGCGCCGCTCGATCACATATTCCGTAGTGGAACTCTTCCGTGTTTCCCTTACCCATAGGTCTATGCCTCCACGAGCCACGACTACTATCCCCAAGCCGCTCCATTCAGAGCATTAGAAGCCGGTTCAAGCAATGATATACAAGTGATAGAAATTATGAGGAGGATTCAAGATAATCATAATTAAGTAATTCATGGTGTCTAGCAGAAACCTCAACAGAATACAGAAAGCACTGGACGGCCATTTCGTCCTATATTTGGGACTCATCAGCAGTGCGAATTATTTAATATTCAAATGTAATGTCAATCAACGTCTCCAGGTGCCTTGATCTATCCCCTATCCGTCTCTTCATCCTTTCCTCTATCACTCCTCTTTGCTCTCGCTCCAACTCTCTGTAACGCCTTGCGTGCTAGTGGCTTCCCGCCTTGCGTGCTAGTGGCTTCTCGCCTTGCTAGGGGTGAAACGCTTATATATATATATATATATATATATATATATATAATAGAAATTAGACTATAGACAATTTTGGATGCCATATAAAAGCGAGGGTCGTAATAAATGGGAGGGGGTCAGAAAATGTAATAAATGGGGTACTGGAAAAATGAGGAAATCTAATAAACGGGGAGGAGGGTCGATAAATAGGGTAGTTGGGAAATGATTAAAAAGAAGTCTTTCGATTTATAGCAACGCCGACAAGAGATAAACGCAAAAATATCCATTAATGTCATTAGCTAAAATGCTTTAACGAAATCGGAAATATTTCTAGGAACTTTTGCCAAAATGACTGCACAAATGAATATACATAAAAAAAGTCAAGCGTTAATTAGCAGGTAAGGGGTTATAATAAGTTGCCAAGGGGGTGGGGAGAGAATACAAAAATTGTCCAGCGAAGCAAGGGTGGACGTTTATTTGGCAACATAGATATTAAGGCTACTAATTCTTATATTAATGCGAACAGGCTTTGGGGATATTATTCACAATTTTCTATACATACTACGACGTATTTTTAAGCTTATATATAGCCGAATGGTTAGAACGTTCACTTTCTGACCACGAGACCCGGGTTCGAATCTCACCGTGGTCGATTTTTCAGCAAGGCAACTTGTTGATGTTATCTGAAGGATACACTTTGGAAAGTGCCTGAAAACGACACCAAACCTTCAAGCAAGGCAATAATACCACTAAGACGCAAGGGGCGACTGAGAGTGAAAGAGAATGTAAAGACTTTCGAAGGAGCCGGAAACCTAATCCTAAACAGGAAACCAGGGATAAACATCTTCTCCTGTTCAAAAGATCGGACTGGAGTGTGAACCAGATGACAGACAAATCTGTCTACTCCTATTAAGCACAAAATAACAAAACAAATAGTCAATATAATTTCAGTGTTTCGTTAAGAGTACAGACAAACTTCTCATCTACGGACCAACCGCCCCCCCCCACACACACACAATCAACGGATTATGGATGCAACGGACAAAATCTACAGACAAAATTTTTTAAAAATCTGCAGGAAAATACGGACCATCGCTTCCCCGGCTATTAGTCCATTGATGAGAAAACGGTATCGTAAACTTCTACTTTTGTTCAAAAGTCAGGGGTGTTGTGTGTATATATTACTTCAAACGTTATTACGGATACCGTATTTGAGCAGACACTTCGTTTATTTTTTAAACAGTATTTATTTAATCTACCAGACTGCGTACCCGAGAAATAAGTACTATTTTAAAAAAATAAAAATAAAAAAATAAAAATAAAAAAATAAAAATAAAAAAATAAAAATAAAAAAACGAAGCATCTACTTAAATACGAATATCATCTAAAAATAATGTTTGAAGTAATATATCAGATTTAAAAGGAAAATACCCACACGCGCACACACTCATATATATATATATATATATATATATATATATATATATATATATATATATATATTCGGTTGAGCTTTCTGGAGACGAAGTGTGGGCTTGTAAACTATCTATTACGGCTAATAATGCATGACTCTTCGGTAAATTGAATCGAGTTTCCTCAGTCGCTGTGTGCTTATCTAAAAATAAATATGCTTAAATTCACCTTCGTCGCTGCCGTGTGCCTACGACTTAGTGGTTGAATCCTCGACTGACGCCAATTCATTCGGGTTTCGTTCCTAGTTTCGTCTAGCCATACTGATGAGCTGTGATACAGCGAAATAATCTGTATGTGGATGGCTATATATATATATATATATATATATATATATATATATATATATTACCATCAACGCTATATTTATTGTATACACGCGTTTGAGTAGACAACTATATCTCTGTTTTCTAAACGTTGGAATTGACGTCTGCCAATAAAAGTCTAAAAGGAAAAGGTCTGTTCAACAGCGATCGAATCGGCGTTCCTTTTACATTGGGAAAACACATTTTATTAGCATCTGTCTATATTTCTGAGATGATGTATTATATCTATTTACACTATTTACATTGTTAGGACTGATGTCCTCATCTTTATTGTCACATTCACAACCTTTCGGTCGTTGTACGCTCCGGCCATCTTCAAGAGATATTTGTTTCGAACCGAACTCAAACATCATTGAACCAATCTTCAGAAACGGCAACATACATCTTGACTATTCTGGGTTCGGTTCGAAATGTGGTGGGGTAAGTAAAATGGTAAAGGTGGGGGTGAATAAGATGTTAAATTTGGATGGGTAAATAACACATTAAAGGTGGGGGTAAGTAAAATTTTAAATGTAGTGGGGTATGTAAGATGGTAAAATTGGCGGGGGAAATAAGATGGTAAATGTTGTGGGGTAAAGGATATATTAAAGACGGGGAAGAAATAAGTTTTTAAATGTGATGAGGTCATGTATATCAGATATTAAGTTTTAAAGATTCCTGGTTCTATTATTTTTATTTTTTTTTTTATCTGAACTTCTCGCAAAAAGATTATTTTTCGCGTAGTGTAGTAGTTATCATCGCGGAATGTGGTATTGGCGTGCCGAGTTCAATTTCCATCTAAGTCCGTTAGGTTCAATTTCACACAAATACGACCGAAAAGACATGAATTCATCTCTTTTACCCAACCCCAGGTAGGGGTTAAAGGAAGTACAGATTTAGTTCTGTAGCCTTGGGTGGCAACTAGTCCAGGAGAAGGAAAACTCTTAACTCAAAACCAACCAGAAAAAGGATGGTCTCCGTCAGGTTATATTGCTCTAGACGCAACAGTGCTGTTATAGCAGCAGTACGTGTGGTGTACCTGCAACGCTAATGGCTTACCGGACTCATGAAATGAAGCAAAACTTTCCTTGTTTGTCTATATTTCTGAGATGAGGTATTGCAACTATTTACATAGCACAGATTTTGTGACTTTACCAAGCGACACAGGAATGTGAATGTTATAACAGCCCATTTCAGGAAATAAACATGCGAAGAACATCAACACAAACGCCATTGAACCAAACTTTAGGAACATGAACATACAGATTGACTATTCTTGGTTCGGTTCGAAATTCAAAAAAATATCAACTGAAGAAGGCCGGAGCGTACAAAGGCAGAAACTTCGTGAAAGTGACAATAAAGATGGTATTTATCAATCCACCCACGGGGATCGAATGTGGCACAAGGCCTTTTTAATGTAGGTATCTCTGAGCCCGTAGGCCCAGCCAAAAATAAATGACCATCCAAACCCGACGAGGTGGGCCAGTTCCGTCAACCTCCCCCAACGAAACCCTACCCTTCGACGGAGCTTCGTCTGGGTTCCTCTCTG